GGTCAACCTTACGGCCCCTCGAAAGCGAGCCTCCGCCACGTGCCCAGGGCGACGCTAGAGAAAACGTGCGGGCAAGAACTGCTGCTCAGAGTGTCGCGGCGGCGGCCCCTGCGACACGCCATGCTTTGCAAGCGGGTAACCTGTCGCCCCGCTCCTCAGGGCGCGAGGCTGGGAAAAGCTCGGGACGTTGACGCCTGGAGACTGGGGCGTATCTGGTCGACCTGCTCTGCTGGAGGGTGGATCTTGCTGTCAATATCCTGGATTTTCCTGGTGACGTTCTTGGATACGCCGGACTGCTCAAACGCGTCCATGCGCTTCCACATCTCGTCCACGCTGTTCTTCACATTCAGCTCCACCTTGTCCGTCCGCTGGGTGATCGACTCGACTGATTTCGTCATAGGGTCGAGCCGCTCTTTCGGCTTCCTTTCAAGGATGTTCTCCATGGCGTCGGTGATCATCTTGACGGTGACGGAGCCTGAAGACGAAGATGCCTTTTCAAGATGGTTCGGGAGCGTCGGCGACGAAATCTGATGTACTTCCGGGCGGGTGGGGGGCCGAACGAGTCGAACTCGTCCGTCCCGTCGTCCATGTGGTGGAGCGGGCTGAACAAGCGCTGGCGAACGTCGCGCTGCAGGGTCTTCCCAACTGGCGTCCACGGCATTCGCACGCTCTTCGCAGCCATCGAAAGACACGGGTATGGGAACGGAACTCTTGGAATGTTGACAATAAGGTATAGTAGTAGTAGTAGTAGTAGTAGTAGTAGTAGTAGTAGTAGTAGTAGTAGTAGCAGTAGTAGCAGTAGTAGTAGTAGTAGTAGTAGTAGTAGTAGTAGTAGTAGTAGTAGTAGTAGTAGTAGTAGTAGTAGTAGTAGTAGTAGCAGTAGTAGTAATAGTGGGCGCTTTTACCCCAGAATGTATGTTTCTGTCGAAGGTCAGCACAGGGAAGCTTGAGCCAGGGAGAGTTAGGTTCTTGCAGGGACCTAATTCGAGAGAAACTTCAGGGAGGGTTTAGAACAAAATGGCTGATGCGTCTTGGATTGACGCTGGCTCTCATATTCCTCCTCCTCCTCCTCCTCCTCCTCCTCCCCCTCTTTGTCCAGCTTCCGCTAAATTGTGCCAGTTCCTGGTGCCTGGGCGTTGTGCCCCATCCGAACATACGAGACCATGGTGGGCCTGTTTCTCAGCTAGCCCTGTTTGGGCTTTCGGCTTGGGCTATATAGGTTTCATCCCCCGGGCTGTATTCTCCTCTACCCCCCCCCTCCCTGCGAACACAATCGCAGGCGTTGCTGGCCATGGCGAACCTCGGCCACGCATAGATTCGCCGACATAGCCCGAAGGAGCGGCCTGGAAACCAGGGCCCATTCCTGGCCAAGAAGGGTAGTGGTTGCCAGCGTGTTGACTATAACTCCCCCCTTTCGCGCTGGGCTGGGCGTGCTGCCTAAGACTTTCCTGCAAATAGTTGCACGGTCCTGGGAAGAACAGCTCCAACAATCATGAGGATGGTGGGCCTGTCATTTCGAAAGGTGGCTCTTGCCCGAGCGTCGCGAACACTCGCTTCAAAAGTTCCCACCGGCTCCGAGGACAGAGGGCTGTTTTTTTCAACATGCGACTCTCGCCTTCGCACCGCCAAGTCTCGCTTCAACCGTGTCCAGCACTTACACGGATGGAGGCCGGCTCGTTTCAAACTGTGGCGATCGCCTGTAGCGTCTGCCAGAACCTTTGCTCGAGGCGTGCAGCTGTGCAGTACAACAACATCAACTCCATGGATAGAGGGCGGTTCCTTTTCAAAATGGGGTCCCGTCGTCAGTTTGGCCTGAAGTCAAAGATTGTTCACAGCTGCGCATATGAAGGGCGGTTCCTTCTCAAAACAGGTTTGGCGCCGACGCTGCAAGACGCGCGGCTGGAATGGGACGGGGCGAGCACATCTCGCGCGGAGGCGCACATCGTCGCTCTGACCTCGACGCCGCGCTCGACTTTCCTGCCGGCGGAGTTCCCGCTTGGTTGCGGCGTGCATGCGCGGCCTGCCAATTCTCAGCGGTGGACAAACCTCCCTTTAGCAAACCTCCCCTTGGTGAAAACGGCCTGGGACCGAACCCGACGGACCTGGACCCGCGAAGATGACGGCCGCGACGCCCTCTCGCTGACCGAAAACGGCCAATTCCTTCATCGACATGTCACCTCCAAAATTCGTCGAGCACGGGGCCACGCGCGGGCGGACGCGCCGCGTCTCCCGCCCACGCGCCGCGCAGGCTTCCCCCGGCGTTGCGGGCCCCGGTCGTCGGGAGCGGGGCCGCGCGGAGCGGACGGCAGTGCCGCCCCCGCCACAGAGCTCCGCGCCGACGTCGCGCGAAGGCGGCGTTCTCCGTGCCTGTGCCGGGATGTGTCACATTGGCATACAGCCGCAGTGAACAAACATAAGATGTGGAGCAGCATCACCTCGATCTCCTCACAATATTCATCACATTATCGCTTTGCACAGATGTTTGCACAAAACTTTAACGATAAGATTCCACCGAAGGTGGCGTTCCCCCTCTCCCGGCGCGGCGCAGATCTTGCGCCCGCCGAGTCGCTGGAGAACGAGGCAGCGGGGCCGCGCGCGCGAGCGCGTGAAAATCACTGTTCTCGCACACGGAGCCGCGCATATGCCGGTCGAGGGCGCTGCTTCGGCGCTGCGCTATGCTTTGCCTCCGTCGCTCTGCTCAGAATATCAGAATACGGTGTCCGCACGGAAGAACACCCAACGATGCCCTCGCCGCAGCGCCGCACCAGAAACGTCTGGGAGCTCCGCCCTGCCCCCCCCCCCCGCACGTGGCCCATGCCTCTTTCCCTCGCCAAGTCGTCCGAGGCGGAGCCGCGCGCGAGCACCGTCCATGTGGCTGGGTGCTGCCTCGCCCGACGTGGCGAACTTGAGTCCCTCCATTTTCCGACGTTGCGCAGACATGGATCGGAGATCGTTGCGATGTTGAGCCCCTCCCTCCTCCTTCTACTCTTCACCCCACGGCGCGAGGGGGGGAGAGAAGGGAAAGGGGCGGGGCGACGGCGACAACGGCGATGACGACGCCGCCGCCGGCACCGACGACGACGAGGACGACGACGCCGCCGACACCGATGCCGACGACGACGACAGGAGAACTAGTTTTGGTAGAACTGCAAAGGTGCATGATTATAGCCATGAGTTTGCCTCCGTGGTGAGGTCGGACCGCTTTGTGTGCGAACCCTTTACATCATATTGAAATTGCAGGTCAGCTCCCGCGTGGGCGCAAGGAAGAGGACGACAACGACGCCGACAGCGACTCTCAAGCCGACGCTTACGACGAAGCCTGCGACGCGGAAGACGAGGACGAGCCCTCTGGCGGCTTCCGCTGGCGTCCACCCACCTTCCCCCACCCTCCCCCGAGGCAGAACAGTCAACCTCACGGCCCCTCGAGCCTCCGCCACGTGCCCAGGTCGACGCTAGAGAAAACGTGCGGTCAAGAACTGCTGCTCAGAGTGTCGCGGCGGCGGCCCCAGCGACACGCCATGCCTTGCAAGCGGATAGCCTGTCGCTCCGCTCCTCAGGGCGGGAGGCTGGAAAGTTGACGCCTGGAAACTGGGGCGTGATCAGCGTGTCGCGCCGAAGCGTGGTGGGCCAGAACCGACGGCGCGACACGCTAAGCCAACACTCCTGATCAGGTGCCGAGCCCCTTCCGAAACAAAAATGGAACGTATGCCAACGCTCTAACTGTATCCTCGATGTCCGATGCGTGACGAAAATGATGTGTCGGCAGGGACGACGAGGACGACGACGAGGACGAGGACGACGACGAGGACGAGGACGATGACGACGACGACGACGACGGCGGGACAGCCAAGAGCAACCTGCAGGACTCCGAAGGAGCTTCCGAAAACGCTCGGAAACCTCCGAGAACAGTTGGAAACAAGTGTACATACTTGCAAAACCCGCCGAACATAAAAATCGACGACGACGGCGGGACAGCCGACGACCTCCAGGACCCGAAGAGCCTCCGACAGCGTTCGAAAATAGAAAACCGCCGAAAGCATTCAAAAGCCAATCGATTTTCAATGACAACGATCGTCGACAACGACGTGGACGACGACGGCGACGACCACGACGACGACGACCGACTACGACGGCATCCGAGAACCTACAGGGCTCAGGAAGACTTGCCGAAACTGCTCGAACAACTACGAGAGCTTCCGCGCAAACAGTTGTTTAATATGCGCGGAAAATCGCCGACGACAGCGACGATGACGACGACAACAGCAGCCGAGAGCCTCCAGGACCCCGAGAGCATCCGTTCGTTAGAATTTGATCGACCATCGTTCACCAGATCTTATCTGCGCAACAAGATCCGTCGAGACTTTCAACATCAGTCAAGATCGTCGGCGAAATCCGCCGAGGGCTTCGCAGAAAATCGCACTATTCGACGACGACTGTGGCGACGACGACGACGACGACGACGACGACGACGACGGCGACGGCGACGGCGACGACGGCGACGACGAGCCGCGCCCTCCAGACATGCCTGGGGGCGCGACAGGGCGGGGGGTATTTTCGAGGACAGGAGACGAAGGAGCGAGGAGGCCTCCTCCTCCGTCTCCTCCTCCTCCTCCTCCTCCTCCTCCTCCTCCTCCTCCTCCTCCTCCTCCTCCTCCTCCTCCTCCTCCTCCTCCTCCTCTCCTCCTCCCTCTCCTCCTCCTCCTCCTCCTCCTCCTCCTCCTCCTCCTCCTCCTCCTCCTCCTCCTCCTCCTCCTCCTCCTCCCTCCTCATGGTTTCTGGTTCCTGGTGGCTGGAAAGAACGTTCTTCGCAGCCTCCCCCCCCCACCAGGGCCAGTCGGCCCTGGGGGGTGATCAAACTAGAGCCTTGCGGCCCCTGGAGTCCTCCTCCTCTCCTCCTCCCCTCCTCCTCCTCTCCTCCTCCTCCTCCACCTCCTCCTCCACCTCCTCCTCCTCCTCCTCCTCCTCCTCCTCCTCCACCTCCCCCCCCTCCGCCTTCCCTGCCTCACCGCCTCCTTGCCGCCCTCCCGCAGCTGGCACGGTCGGCGCCTACCGCGGGAGCGCGCAAAGCTCGCGCCGTCCTGCGCCGGCGGCGGCGTCAAAGGCCCCGCCGCGCTCGGCCTCGAGCGGCACCTCGCTGCCGAGCGCTGGCGCCCCGAGCTCGGACACCTGGACGGCACGGGGCACGGCCAGGGCCGGGGCCGGGGCGTGCACAGCCTCCTGGAAGGCGGCTGGCCGCCTCCTCCCTCCCTCCCTTCCTCCCCCTCCTCCTCCCTCCGTCCGCCCTCCCTCCCCAGGCCCTCCTCTCCTCCCTCCCCCGCCCACTCGCTCCTCCTCCCCCTATCCCCCCCCCATCCCTCCCCACTTCACTCCCCGCCTCGGTATCCTGCACCTCCAATCCTCAACAGTCTTCCTCCCTCCTCCCTCTTCCTCCTTCTTCTCCTCCTCCTCCTCCTGCGCCTTCCTTCTCCTCCTCGTCCCCCTCATTCTCCTTCCTCCTCCATCCCGCCTTGTCCTCGTCCTCGTCCCCCTCTTCTTCCACCATTGGGGGCACAATACCCTAGACCAATCTCAATAGAACGAAGGCGATCTCTTTGCAAAGTCATATAAAAGTGCAGTGTAGTAGCACAGGATACTATAATCTCAAAAGCGACCAGAGAGGATACCATCAGGAAGACTGGCAAGAAGACTATCAAGCAGACCACACTGGAGACCGTACGGGAGACCATGCGGGAAACAAAGCGGGAGGCCGTACGGGAGACCATACGCGAAACCGTGCGGGAAACCCTACGGGAGCCACGGGCCACCGAGCCACCGACTCTGGCAGACCGCACACCCGGCCTCGGGCGCACGATACAGAACCCTCACCGGGCTACAGGGGATTCGGCAGGGCCCGAACAGTCAAGCTGTTTGGGGAAACCCGTGCTGTTGAACAGAGCTGGTCCAGACCACAGTGACCAAGCGCACTCACATGGTGCGTGCTCACGCAATCCACTCACAGCTGCGAAGAGCATGCACATCTGGCCGAGATAGGCAGGGGTGGCTTCCTAAGCCTCGAGTAGGAGATCGACCCCAGAATTGATGTGCCCCTAACTTGAAATGTTGGGTCGAGGCTCCGTAAAAGAGAAAACCTTGAATTTCCGTAGACCCACGCACACTACAAAGAACGGAGAACATTTCGGGGTCAGTCAACTATGTAGCCGATATCTTATTCGAAAGCCGAGCGCTTGGACAAAGCCGCGTGGGCCGACATCAGAAACGAGCAGTATTACTTCCTCGACGGCTTCCATTCCCTTGGAACTCACTCGGATTAGCTGGTTCGCATCAGTGCGTGAGACTTGACCGACCTAATGCTGCAACCACGGGCGATGCACTCACAATGGGGCTCGATGCTGGGAGTGAGACACCGGTTCAGGGCGAGTTAGAGGCGGAGCACCCCGATGACGGTGATGATGGGCCCCTCGCAACAAGGGGCGCAAATGCAACACGCACCGCGTGCTTGTGTTGCGGGCTCCTCGGTTGTGCACAGCCTGCCTCGAAACAGCGATGGTAACGGGCGAGCCCATGCGCCAAGGTGGCTGACCCTGGGCATCAGCCTCCTGCGTGGTCAAGGGGGCCTCTGGGCGAATGACTGGGCACGGGCCTTGGGGACGAGGACGCCGACGCTGAAGGCTTCGCAACCCTTCTCCCGCCTCTCCTCGCCCACTGAAATGGACTACCCCCCCCCCGACGGCGGCTTCAATGGCTTCTTCGCAGACGGCGGCCATCCGCAGCCGATGGCGAAAGCGAGTGCTACGATTAAGTCGGGCGTGTCCCCCTACAGGGGGATTTGGGGCGAAAAATAAAAAAGCAAAAATACCTCCCAAATGCTCAAACATAGTAAAACAATAGCCCCCAGACTTTTTGTTTTTTACTATTTTTGAACATTCCTCCTGTAGAGGGACACGCCCGACTTAATGCTACGATGGATCCACGTCGCGCTGGCCTGAGGCGTGCGCGGAGGGGGCCAGGGCCCAATCGCTGCTCCCTCTTGTTCAGTTGCCTCGTCGAAATCACTACAGTCGGGCCGCTGAAAGCAGGAACGCTAAATGAGGAGCGACGCCCCCTCTTGGCCCGGTAAGCGCCTCCGTGCCCCAGGAGGGCAAAAGCAACAGCACCGGAGGAACCCAAGGAACATCGAGCCCCTTCCGAACCCAAACTGCTCATTATTTCAGCGTCTTGACGGCACTGCAAGATGCAGGATGCTGTCTGCACGGCGCCCAGTGCGCTCCCTGACCATCGGGAGCACACCCTGGCGACCGTACGCTGCAGGGCGAAGTTTCCCTCCAGGATCCAGGTGGATGTGCGCTGGCGGAGCTCGGACAGGGAGGAGAAGGAGGGAGATGGGAAGGAAGAGGGGGGAGAAGGTGGGAGGAGCTTCAGGAGGAGGGAGCAGGAGGAACAGGAGAAGGAGGGAGGAAGAGGTGGAGGAGGGAGGACGGAGGAGAGAGGAGATGGGAGGAGGAGAAGAGGAGAAGGAGAAGAGGAAGAGGAGGATGAGAGGAAGAGGAGGAGAGGGGGGAGGAGAGGAGACGGAGGGAAGAAAGAGCGAGCTTCTGCTCGGGAGCACTGTTGCCCTATCCCGTTACCCATCCCCTCCTCCCCTGCCCTTCCTTGGTACCCGTGCGGCCTGGATTCTGCAAACCCGCACGGCATGGTCCTCCTCGCCTGGAGAGGGCGCGAACTGTTTGAAGCGCCGTTGGGCGCGGGCAGGGAAGATGGACGGACACTGGGAAGACAGACGGCAGACAGGAGGACGGGACATCCCTTCTCCTCCCCCCTCCTCCTCCATCCCTGCCTCCCTCCCTCCTCCTCCTCCCTCCTCCTTCTCCTCCCTCTTCCCCATCCCTCCTCCTCCACTCCGCTGCCTTATACATAGCTCCTCCCTGTCGCGCCCATAGGCCACTCGGAAGGGCGGGCCGGGCGTTTCGCCTGAGATGCCCCTTACCATTTATCAGCCCGAAACTTACAAATGTTGGTAGCCGCTTCGCCGATGGACGGTGGGCGGTGTTCACACTGCAGCTCTCGCCCTTTGCGCCTCGCAAGCTCGTCTTACAATCGGACTTGATTGGACAAGACACGCGAGAGGACACAAGACCCTTCCAAGGGCCACATTGCCATAGGAATGTGGAAGGCATGGGTCGAGGGACACGGGACACAAGGGTACCACTGATTTGGCAGGGTCGACCTACTAATCTGGGCCGACTGTAAAACAACTGCAAGAGTTTCACGGGCTGCGGGCGGACAGGCTCAAACTGTGGTTCTCACCTTAGCGTCGCACATATTCGCCTTGAACCGGTGTAAGACCTTCACGGGTTGAGGGCGGGCGTTGTTGAACATGCGGCGCTCGCCGAAGCGCCGCACACATCCGTTCTAAACATTTGCAAGGGTTTCAAATATTAAGGGCGGGTAATTTTCAAAATGTGGTGCTCCCCCTAGCTCCGCTTACATTCGTTTCAAACATTTGCAAGAGCTTCACGGAAGGGCACTACCTTTCAATCAAAATGAGCTCTCGCCTTCGTGCCGCGCACATTCGTTTCAAACATTTGCAAGAGCTTCACGGATTCCCACAGCCAAGGTACCACAAATGGCGCGCTGTAGCGATTCAGGATCGGCAGGGTGCTACAGAAACGATGATTCGCGGTGTTGAAATCCCAGGAAGGGCACTGTGGCGCGATCCTGGATCGCCAGGACGCAGCAATCAAATCCCACCAGCCCTTTGGGCGACAGGTGGTCTAAGGGTGACCTCTGCTTTCTTCAACAACCACTCTTCCCTTCGGGGGGGGGGGGAACCCTCCCCCTCCCCTCCCTAGAATTGTTTGGGAGGGGGGCGATGTGTCAGAGTTTTTTTCTCGGCCAGTGGGAAGGCCAATTTTTGACACCCCGCACGATGACCGTGGCCCCCGAGGGGGGAGGGGGCAGACATCGAGGACCCCACCTCCTTTGACCGACCGCCTTCAAGATGGCACCAACAGGCCCTCCAGCGCTCCCAAGAGGCCCCCAAGAGAGCTCCAATAGCGCCCAAAGAAGCCCCAACAGGTCTCCAAGAGGCACACGAGAGGCACGCAAGGGGGCCCCGAGCGGCCTCAGAAAACCCAATATGACCTCCAAGGTTTGCTCCAGATCGCCCAAGCTGGCTCAAGATGGCCCCCAAGATGCTCCAAGAGGCCCCAAGACTGCTCCAAGGCGACTCGAGATGGCCTCGGGGCCTCCCCAGGAGGCCATCAAGAAGCCAAACTCCCCCGAACAAGCTGGCAGAACATCAATGAGTTTGGCCTTCTCGGCTCTTTGTTTTCGATGGCCTTCTGGGGCCGCATGATTGCTCCAAGATGGCCCCAGAGAACCCCAAGAGAGGCCTCAAGATTGCTCCAAGATGGCCCCAGAAAGCCCCCAGAGAGGCCCAATAGAGCCCCAGGACGGCTCCAAGTGCGCCCAAGAGCGCTCCAAGATCGCTCCAGGAGGGGCCCAGAGGCGATTTATGGCACTCCCGAAAGGGAAAGTAATTGAAGTCCCCCCGTCTCTGCCTCTTTCCCCCCGTCAACTCTCATGGGCATCGTTCCTGGATGGGCTGGTGGGGGTACTTTTTGGTCAACAGGCTCGCGAGGCGGGCCGAAAGACGTCCGAACACTAGTCGAGCCGCGACTGGGCAGCAGGAAAAGAAAGGCAAGCGAAGCGAGCGAGCGGGCAGCCACTCAGAAAGAGAGCCAGATCCGATACTCCCAAAGCCGGTGGCGTTGGAAATCCCGGTGGCGACCAGAAAGTCAGCGCAGCTAAAATGGCGCGGCGGCGCGACCATAAACACGCAGAGGTCGATCGCTCGGTGTGAGTCAGGCAAACAGCACTGTCAGAGACGAACTCGACCGACAGGCACACCCAGACGACATCCGTGAAGTAGGCGACACAAATGCCAAAACGTCGTGTCGGCGCAAGGGTGAAGAGGGGCAACCTCATCACCGACAAGACTGCAAACGGCAATGGAACCTGTAACACTTGTCGAAAGCGAAGTCCACGCAGGAGAACGTCGGCCAACGAGCGCACAGAGCCACACTTGCCGAACTCGAGGTCCAGGTACCCTAAGGCAAGCAGTGTAGCGAAAGAACCACTGGAACCTTCCGGACATCAGTAGGGGCCGACACCAGCCAGGAGCAGGCCAGGGGGCACCTGACCTCAGCGAATGTTACGCAGCACCGTTCCCTGCGTGAGCCCTTGCATGGATTCCAGACCACCTAAACGCCATCAGGAAACAGTATTGGGTAGCAAACCCCAGCCACCAGGGAAGAACCCTGTGAAACAGGAGGGAGAGCACCCCGGAGGAGAGGAGGGGAAGTGCACGCCAGGCACGGTAGGCACCCCGGTGTGGCACCAAACCGCTGCAGCACTAGGGTGTAGGAGGGGAAGGAAGGAAGTGCACACCAGGCACACCGTGTGGGTGCAACAGCTAACCGCTGTGGCATAAGGATGCAGGAGGAGAGGCGGGGAAGTGCACGCCAGGCACGGTAGGCAGCCCGGCGTGGCAGCTAGCAGCTGCAGCATTAGGATGCAGGAGGGGAGGGAAGGAAGTGCACGTTGGGCACACGGGGGGAAGGATGCAGGAGGAAAGGAGGGGAAGTGCACGCCAGGCACGGAAGGCACCCCAGTGTGGCAGCAAGCCGCTGCAGCATTCGGATGCAGGACGGGAGGGAAGGAAGTGCACGCCAGGCACACGGTGTGGGTGGAGGGGGGAAGAGCCCACCATAATCCTGTGTACACTGACGCGCACGCCAAGCGTTCTGATTCTCTGGTAAGGTGCTGACGGCTCGCGGACGCCGTCGACACGGGGATGGAGGCAGACGGCCGCGCCTTCGACGTCAAGGGCCCGACCTCGCCCGACAGCACTCCCACCCTACAGCGAGCGGCCAGTGTCGGCGCTCATGATATCCCGACCATCTCGCGGGGGTGCCTTGCGTCCGTCCCCTTGTTCGCGCCGACGTGGTGTCCCAGGTGTTGTCCACGCACCTGCGCCCAGTCGATGCCCAGGCCCAGTGAGTCTTTCATGGCCCGAGCATCGCAGATGTGGCTGCGAAATGAAGTCAGGAAGGCGACGCAGGTTCGCTGGTCGTGCCGACGCGGGTCGAAAGCGCGAGTGGTGCCAGGGGCAGCGTGTTGCTCGGCAAAAGCGTGCCAGACGGCTGTGAACGACGCACCCAAGGTGACCTAAAGGTACCAGATCGTCTTTGGTGACACTCCGCGGGGTTCCCACTGGGAGTCGTGGACCCGGCCTTTATAGAGCGGCCTTCCAATGTGGGAGTCCCGTGGTTAGCTGGTGGGGGTACGCGAAGCGTCAAGAATTGGTTCGTGGCGTTGGAATCCTGAGAATGGTGTTTGGCACGCGTCAGGGACTTCAAACGGTTGTCTCCCAACTGGGCACTTCTTTCAGTGGAGATGAATCCTTGTAGGGGCCCATGAAGAGGGAGCTTGAAAGGAAGGTAATTTTCAACATCGTTGATGAATCTTGGGTTTGCACTGGTCCTCCTCCCTCCTCCTCCTCCCCCTTCCTCCCTCCTTCTCCTCCTTCTCCTCCTCTTCCTCCGCGCCGTGGGGCGCGGCGGCAGATTGCCTGACAGACACAGACGCAAACGCAGACACACACACACACACACACGCACACACACACACACACACACACACACACACACGCACACACACACACACACATACACACACCACACACACAAATGCAGAGCCAGGCACAGCCCCGAATCGAGACACAGACACAGACTGCTGTAGGCTCGTGTCGTGGCGACCCTGGCGGTCCCCGGCGGCGGAGCCGAAATGTGTGCTACCATTCTGCGCCCGGCGATCCTCACGGAGCGCCCGCAGCACAAGTCAGTCAGGTGTGCGTACGGTTAAGTCGGGCCTGTCCCTCTACAGGAGGAATATTCAAAAATAGGCTCGTGTCGTGACGACCCTGGCGTTGGCTTCTGACACCGCGCGGACCGTTCAACCTCGAACCGTCGGCGGCTTCTCGATGGCCAAAACGTTCCGTGTTGGCAGATTTGTGGGCCGGGGATGGCGTTCAACCTTGAACGCTCACGCTGGGGTCGCCGCCACGTCGGCACGGCACACCTGCCGTACGCTTAAGTCGGGCGTGTCCCCCTACGGGGGGATTATTGACGATCATTTTTTAATTCAAAGAAAGTATTCCAACACTTTTTTATAAAAAAACGCTCCAAAATGGTTTTTCAACAAAAAACTCAAGTGGTTTAAAATACCCAGAAATACTAAGAAAAAAATTGCAAAACATACACAAAAAATAGTTCCCATACTGGAGGGGCAGGCCCAACGTAACCGTACGCACACATGACTGGTCTGTGCTGCGGGCGCTCCGTGAGGATCGCCGGGCGCAGAACGGTAGCACACATCTCGGCTCCGCCGCCGGGGACGCCTGTCCTGGGGCGGCCGGACCGGTCATACCCCACCCGTCAACGCTGGGGCCGAATGCACGGGCCCTGGGAGACACAAATAAATGCACACAAATCAAAAGGATCCCCCGTCTTTTCCCATATATGCTCTGGGTGTCTGTCTTCCCCCCCCCGCTGCCCCTCTTTTCCCACAGCTTCGGGGGAATCGACGGTTCCTTGTGTCTGTGTGCTTCTTCTCCACCGGATTGAAACTTCCCACCCGCCGTG